AATAGTAAAACCCACCAAAAAAAGCATCACACTTACCTGAAATCTTTGAATCCTACTTGACAGCAATGTCTTCCATCATCATTGACAGTAGCTGACAAAAAAAAAAACTTCATTTGTGACCTTGTTAAAGCATGAATCGAAGTAGACATACCGCTAGAAAAACTCAACAAATTTCAGGAGTTTCTAAGTGCATATTGTAATGAAGGTGGTACTATACCCATGGCTAATGCTTTACATCATTTATATTTACCAAAGGTTTTTGAAGAACATTTAGAAAGCCTAAGACATATATTTAATGAAAAACAAGTAGCAATCATCATTGATAAAATGACAGATGCCAAAGGGCATAGTGTAGTTAATACACTATTCTCTTATCATGGGGTGACAAAACTAGTGTCGGTTGACTTTTTACAATCTGTAAATTATTCAACAATAGGTGGGCTTGTTTTATAGCTCTTAACGGAATGGAACATTCCTTTTACTTACCCAAAAGCATTTGTCTCGGATTCGGCCTCTTATATAAAAAGTGTTTTAAAGATGCTTTATGTCCTGTAATGCCTCAGTTGAAGCACAATACATGTTCCACCCATATTATGAATCTAATCAGATAAATTCTTTTATAATAAGATTAGTATTTATTCTCAAAATAGTGAGCATGGGTGCTATTTCGAATTTTGGCCTAAATTCAGGCCAAAATTTGAAATAATATCCATGCCCACTATTTCAAGAATTTACAGTAAGTTTTATAATTTTAATAATATAATTTTATATAATTCTTTTAGCGAATCATGGATATCAGTCTACTATTTTGATGAAGTTAAACTTTTAATCTCGAATATTAAAAAAATATTCGTGTATTCAAAGGCTCGTCAGTCTCGATATATAAACTATCTAGTTTAGCACGAGTTAAATCAACAATCAAACTCTCCTTTGAAATTTGTGCCATTACCTGTTGTGATGCGTTGAAATACTTGGTTCAAAATTGCATTTTATATTTGCGATTACTTTGAATTTATTCAAGGGTTTTATAAGGAGGAGCAAAAAGCTGAATCATCCGAAACTATTGAAAAAATTATGAATATTTTTAATGACTTCGATGAGAGTAGACGAATACGAATTTATTTAATGTTTATTCGCCACTACGCTGAAAGATTTATTCAAGATCTCAATTTTTTTTAGCAAGAAAATGCTCCCGCAATTCTATTCATTGAAAATCGGATTCAACAACTTGAGGCCTTTATTAGTCATGGCGAACATAATGATGATTTTGGAAATGAGATAAATTTGTGTATTGCAGTTGAGAAAAGCTTTTCTGTTTACAATAATCTTTTAGAAGACGATAGACAGAATTTAAGCGAAAATTCATTAAAAATATTAAATATGTTGTATTTCAATCAACGCAAATAATAAATTTTAATAAAAAAAATTTTTTT